CCTGAAAACCTACATATGAGTAACATTATATGGACTCAACAAGTTATATTTGGGAATATATATACACACACATTACATATATGTATCATCATATATATCATCAATCATTTATATATAATATATTACATATATTATCATCATGTATATCGTCAATCATATATATATGTGTGTGTGGATAGATAGATAGATAGATAGATAGATAGATAGATATGAAAAAGAGCCACCATGAATTTGAAGAAATATGTGGTGATGTATATGGAAGGGTTTGAGTGAAAAGGGAAGAAGAAAATGTTATAATAATTAAAATGCAAGCAGGTACAGAGACCCATAGCCAGACATTATGCAGAAAGAGTCTAAACTGGAGATCTCCATCAAAATCCCTTCTTTTGGAGCTCAGGGAACCCAGCAGAAGAGAGGGAAGAAGAAATTTAGGAGCCAGAGGAGTCAAGGACACCAGGAGAGCATGGCCCACAGAATCAACTAAGCAGAACTCATAGGGGCTTACAGAGGCTGAAGTCACAATCATGGAGACTGCATGGGTCTGTGCTACATCCTCTTGACATATGTTACTGTTGTGAGTTTGATGTTTTTGTGGAACTCCTAACAGTGGGAGTGGGCTGTCTCTGACTCTGGCTCTTGGCATTCTTTTCCTCCTACTGGGTTGCTTTGTCCAGCCTTGATATGAGGGTTGTGCCTAGTTTTATTGTAACTTGTTATGCCCTGTTTTGCTGATATCTCTGGGAGGCCTGCTCTTTTCTGAAGTTGGAAGACCTGAGAGAGAGAAGAGATTGGGGTCGGGGTCAGGTGGAGACTGGGAGGAGTGGAGGAAGGAGAGACTGTGGTCCACAAGTATTGAAAATAAAACAAAAAAAGGGAAAAAAAAGAAAACAACTTCCATCTTTAAACAAAAAGTTTTGTTCAGTCATCTCATATAAACAGGAATACACATATTTCTAGCTCATAGACCTACATTATTTTTAAATTTGTATGTTTTCACAAATAAAAATTATTTATCCTTTAAAACAAAATACAATCTCAAAAAGGGGGAGGGGCTGATCTTCCCCAATGGTAACCAAAACTTTTTAAAAGTTTGTATAAAGATGTATCTTTAAGTGCCATGGTGGCACAAACCTTTAATCCCAGCACTCAGGAGGCAGAGGCAGGCAGATCTCTGAGTTCAAGGCCCACCTGGTCTATAGAGCAAGTTCCAGGATGGCCAAGACTACACAGAGAAACCCTGTCTCAAAAAAACAAACAAACAAAAAAGATGTGGCAAATGTTAGCAAAAATTGTGTTAATTGTGTATAAGCTTCCACATTTTGTTAGTTTTTCAAATGCTTGTATACTCTTTTCAAGGACAATTAAAACGAACTTATCTGTGAGCACCTTCTTGAACGGAAGGCTCCTGCTCATGTACACTTGTTTCACTGTATTTCTTTAATTACCCATGCTGACTTAACCTTCTCAATGATTAAAAGTCTGCAATGTTAAAATTATGGCCTGCCTGGGTATAATTAAAACAATCACACTTTAACAGTTTCTACATGTACCCCCACCAAAAGCAGTTGAGATCCACGTCATTGTTAACACTGCCTTTTGCTTTCCTCGGGACTTCAGGAGATTCCAGGAAGATCAGTTCTGGTTTAGATAAAGAACACCTGTGGGCTCACAGCCAAGCCAAGTCACTGGCCAAACTGGACACCACATCAGACATCTATCTCTCACTGATCTATACTTTAATATGAGGTAGATTTTACAAGTAAATTTTTTGTTGTTATATTTCAAGTACTGACACTTACAAAGATCATTGTGAAATAACATGAAGTCTATGGCAAGTATGGGATGTTTGTGGAGAGGATGGGCACTGGGAGTTTCAACCTGAAAGAGCTGTTTCTCCCCTGGACACAGGTGAGACCTTGACACAGAACTGGAGGAGGGCAGTGTCTAACCACTAGAGAGAATGTGCTGACAATGAGAACGGTCCAAAGGGATACAGTGGGAGAAAAAGTTCACTGCATGGAGAAACGATTTGTAGCCAGACAGGACACTGAGCTCAGTACAGCTCTCCCAATTTCCCAGCCCCTTCACAGTCATCCTTCTGTACACTGTGAATGTAGATGAATTTCTAAACAGTCTTATTAAATAAGAAACACAGAGCCAAATACAGAGGTATAAGCTGTAGAGATCAGAGCAATAGCCGCCAACTAACCTTAGCACACTACATCACCATAGCTTCCCAAGAGAGCTTCTTCCTGTCTAACCTGTGCCTTTATTGCCTTCCTGTTCTGCCTTCTCATTGGCTTTAAGCCCAGCCACATCACTTCCTTGTCACTGCCTGTCTATACAGGCCTCCGGGTCTCTATGGTTGGTACTTGGATTAAAGGCATGTATTACCCTGAGAGAAATAATCAATCAATGGAACCTCTTGAAACTGAGAAGCTTTTGTAGAGCAAAGGATATGGTCAACAAGGCAAAACAACAACCTACAGAATGCGAAAAGATCTTCACCAACCCCACATCTGACAGAGGACTGATATCCAGAATATATAAAGAACTCAAGAAATTAGACATCAAAATGCCCAACAGTCCAATTAAAAAATGGGCTATAGAACTAAACAGAGAAGTCTCAACAGAAGAAGCTCAAATGGCTGAAAGACATTTAAGGAATTGCTCAACATCCCTAATCATCAGGGAAATGCAAATCAAAATAACTCTGAGATACCACCTTACACCTGTCAGAATGGCTAAGATCAAAAACACTGAAGACAGCTTATGCTGGAGAGGATGTGGAGCTAGGGGAACTGTCCTCCACTGCTGGTGGGAATGCAAGCTTGTACAACCACTTTGGAAATCAATATGGCACTTTCTTAGAAAATTGGGAATCAATCTCCCCCAAGACTCAGCTATACCACTCTTGGGCATATACCCAAGGAATGTTCAATCATACCACAAGGGCACATGCTCAGCTATGTTCATAGCAGCATTGTTTGTAATAGCCAGAACCTGGAAACAACCTAGATGCCCTTCAACTGAAGAACAGATAAATAAAATGTGGTACATATACACAATGGAATACTAATCAGCAGAGAAAAACAATGACATCATGAGGTTTGCAGGCAAATGGATGGATCTAGAAAAAATCATCCTGAGTGAAGTAACCCAGACTCAGAAAGAAAAACATACTATGTACTCACTCATAGGAGGATACTAGATGCAAAACCAAGATGACTAGACTGCTACTCACAACTCCAGGGAGGCTACCTAGAAAACAGGACCCCAAGAAAGACACAGGGATCACACAATGAGAGAGAAATGGATGAGATCTACATGAACAACCTGGACGTGAGTGGGGGTAATGAAGGGCAAGGGTCAAGGGAAAGAGAGCTTAGGGGAGCGGAAGATCCCAGCTGGATCAAGAACAGAGAGGGAGAACAAGGAATAAGAGACCATGATAAATGAAGACTCCGTGGGAATAGGAAGAAGCAAAGTGCTAGAGAGGTCCCCAGAAATCCACAAAAATACTTCCACAATAGACTACTGGCAATGGTCGAGAGACAGCCCAAACTGACCTACTCTGGTGATAGGATGGCCAAACACCCTCATTGTCATGCTAGAAACCTCATCCAATGACTGAGGGAACTGGATGCAGAGATCCACACCAGGCCCCAACTGGAGCTCCAGGAGTCCAATTGGCAAGAAAGAGGAAGGTTTGTATGAGTGAGAATTGTTGAGATCAAGATTGGAAAAAGCACAGGGACAAATAGCCAAACGAATGGAAACACATGAACTATGAACCAATAGCTAAGGAGCCTCCAACTGGATCAGGCCCTCTGGATAAGTGAGACAGCTGATTAGCTTGATCTGTTTGGGAGGCATCCAGGCAGTGGGACCAGGTCCTGTACTCAGTGCATGAGTTGGTTGTTTGGAACCTGGGGCTTAAACAGGACACTTGGCTCAGCCTGGGAGGAGGGGACTGGACCTGCCTGGACTGAATCTACCAGGTTGAACTCAATCCCCAGGGGAGTCTTTGCCCTGGGGGAGATGGGAATGGAGGGTGGGCTGGGAGAAAGGGGGGGGGAATGCAGGAGGTGGGAGAACAAGGGAATCCATGGCTGATATGTAAAATTAAATTAAATTATAAAATAAAATAAATTTTTTTTTAAAAAAGGCATGTGTTACCACCACCCAACTTCTGTTTATGGTTGGCTATGACCTCTGATCTCCAGGCAAACTTTATTAACATACAAATAAAATATCACATTTCAGCACAAATAAAATATCACCACATGTGAATATGTATTATGTTGTTTGGTTTAATAAATAAGCTGACGGGTCAACAGCTGAACAGGACAGAGTTAGGCAGGAGAGCCAAACTGAAAATGATGGAAGGAAGAAGGGTGGAGTCAGAAGTCACCAGCAGATGCTGAGGGAGCAGGAGATGAACATGCCATGCTGATAAAAGTACCGCCATATGGCAGAGTATAAATAAGGGATATGGGTTAACTTAAAATGTAAGAGCTAGCTAGTAATAATCCTGATCTATTGACGAAGCATTAACCATATTAAGCCTCTGGGTGGTTATTTTGGAATTGGCTGCCAAGACACAGAAAAACTCCACCTATAAGTTTGCTTTTGATGTCATGCTGAGTGGAAGGCAACAATACTTTTGCTGATATGACTTTCAGGATCTTCTAAGAGCCATTTCAAAACATGACTGTCAAGCATGATAGACCTGGCAGTACCAATTCTACATCCCTTCTAACATTGACCCCTGAAGGGGCTGCAGATGGACTATCACTCAGTTATACTGTCCCTTTTTCCCAACAAAGAGGAAAGTCACACAGAAAACCTTCCTTCCACTGAGGGCTGCCCACATCCATCTCAGCACAGCAGCCTGAGGTACAGTCATCATCTGGGAACAGGCTTGGAAGCCTTCCCATCCACACTGTAGCATCAGACACAAAAGCTAGCAACAAAAGTCAACAGAATATTCAACTCACCAAGGTCAAGATGAATGCCAGGGACAACGGAATTGAGAAAGAACATGGAGAGAACAAATCCCAGCACTGTCAGGCACTTGACAAGCAGACTCCTGTCTGATATCCTGTGCTATGAGAAAGAGAAACACAACTCATTTGCTCAGTACAGTCTTTGGATTCTTGAAGTGTATCCACAGTCCTACATCATTTGAATCACTATAAGTATTTCCTTAAAAAAAAAAGAGCATCAAAATCTTTGTGAAAACTAAACTTTCACTATTCTGGGAGAATATACACTGTAACATAGTAAGATATTAGCAAAAACTTTGTGGAAACAGCAAATAAGATTCAGACACATGGGCTTTGAGACACATGCATTTCCCAAGGTGCCTGTGTGCCCTGCCTTTCCCAGAGTTCCACTGTCCTTCCTGTAAGCAGTGCCCATGTGATGCTACATCTAAGAGTCATTACAAGATGTGGTTATCAAGCATGATATACATGACAGTACCAGCTCTACATGTCTTTATCATGCTTAAGGCATTCTTTAAATACCATTATTCCAGCAAAAGGAATCCAGCGACCTTGAAATGCAGTTCTTGCCTCTTATTGGGAGGCAACCTACAAGTATACCTGCCCAGTCACTCAAGAGCACAGAGAGGGCTGTGCCCCTGCAGAATGTTTATGACTTTCAGAGTCACAAGGCAATGAGGATACTGTTTCTTATGAGTCCCTTGGAAGTGCTGTGCTCCATGGACAGTTCATCACAGCAGGAAAATGAGCAGAAAGGAGAGGCAAAGCTCTGCCCAGAAGTCGAACCCATAATGGCAGGATACACACAGCTCATACCTGTCCTGAACACTCCATCTCCTACATTACACTACAAAAACACATGCCCTGTAAACTCTCTGTGTCAGGAGAGCTGATGAGCAGAGGTTGGCTCAAAGTGTGGCCACCAGTTCTTTCAGGGCACACTTGGAATGACTCTTCAGGGCATATAAAAAAAATGATAAGGCTTTCATTTCCTGACAAAATAATTGTGCCATTTTAGAGAATTGTTTTCCCTCATTAACATAGAAGTCAATTATATCTCATGTAAAGCTATATGAGTAAAAAGAACAATGTTTTTCAATCACTAACTGAACCTGAGGTAGCAGAAAGAAAAGAGAGTTTTGAAGGGACCAACACAGAGAAATGACAAAGGATGCTGGTGTGAGCAAAGTCCAGTGTGCACCTGCATCCAGAAAGGGCACCATGCCACACAGTGTTCTATAATTAGCTGTGTCAACTCAAAATGATAATAAAATCTAAGAGGGAAAAAAATCACCCTTTCTACAAGCCATGATTCAGAAGCCCTTGAGGAAAGAAGACAAAATACCTTTCTCTGTAGCTCTTGGATATTGGTCTCCCAATTTTTATCTTCCTGTGAAATTTGTCTGTAAAAGAAAAGGGACTCTCATTATTTCTGCTTTGCAGAAAGCTCACTGCTGCTTCATGAGATTAGCAAGGTGGCATTGACAGCTGTGGAAACCTAGATGTATTTGTGGATCCTGACACAGTCGTGTGAGGGCTTGGATACCCATGACAATGACCAGGGAAATTAGGAAAGCTATTCACTCTGTATTTCCAAAGAAAAAGAACAAAAATCATGATCTGAAAGTTGGGAGAAGTTGTAAGAACAATTGTAAAAAAACGGCATAAAGAATACATGCCAGTGTGTGAGAATGACGAGGGCAATGGTATGGTGTCTGTGGTGTTGCTTTGATGGCCTCCTACATAGTTTTGGTAATCTCTGTATTAGTTATAGCACCTATTTCAACAAAATGCTAGGTAAAAGCTGTCATCCTGCTTGCTTGCAGAATAATGACCAGAAAAACAGCTATCCATATTCAGCATAATCATATTTTTTCAGTTTTTTGAAATATTTAAATGCACTTGGGAGTACACTGCATGCACCACAACATGTGTGTAAGGTCAGAGAACAACTTGCAGGAATCTGCTCTCTTTCCATGCATGTGACTGCCTCAGCCTCAATGCCAAGCACCTTTATCTGCTAAGTCATCTTGACAACCCCAGGTACCCAAGTTTTTAAAGGTCAAACCCTGCAAATAAAATAACCTAACTACAGACCACCATGCAGGCTCATGAGGCAATGATGACTCCAGGGGTGTGGTAAGAGCCCTTCATAAACCCTGGTGAGTGGGCTGTTTTGTTAGTTTACTTTTCTGTTGTTGTGATAAAGCACAGTGACCAAGGCAGCTTATGGAAGAAAGAATTTATTTTGGCTTATGGTTCTGGATAGATAAGAGTCTGTCATGATGGAGAAGCAGCCGGCATTGTAGCAGGAACAGGATGCTGAGAGCTCACTCACATCTTGAACTACAAGCACAAGGCGGAGACTATAGGTACTTATAGGCCTCCCAAGTGATGTATTTCCTCAAGCAAGGATCCACTTCCCAAAGCTTCCACAACCTCCCCAAAGAGCACCACCAACTGGAAACCAAGTGTTCAAACATGGGCCTATATGGGACATTCTCGTTCAAACCACCACAACTGTCGTTCCAGCACTTGGGAGGCTTTGGGAGGCTGGGGAAACGTTCTCTCATCTGTTCAAAGTAAGGCTACACAGTGAGTTCCAGACCAGCCCAGGCCACAGCAGGCCCTGTCTCAAAAAATACAACAGAGCTGGATGTGGCTCAGTTAGTAGGGCACTTCCTTAGCAAGCAGGAAGCCCTGGGTTCTATCCCAAGCACTTAATAAGCCAGGCATCATAATGCATGCCTATAATCCCAGCACCCAAGAGTTCAGGATGATCAGGAGTTCAAGGCCATTCTTAACTATACAGAGAGTTATAAAGCCATCTCAGGCTAGAAATCCTGTCTCAAAAAGAAAGTAATAATAATAATAAGTATCTTGATGAAGCCAAGCATGGTGGTGCACGCCTGTATTTCCTGTACTTGGGAAGTGAAGGCAGAAAGATCAAGAGTTCAAGGTCAACCTCTGCTACATAGTCATTATGAGGACAGCCTGTGCTACATGAGACCCTGTCTCAAACAACAACAATAAATCTAATAAGTTATGCAAAGACCCCAGTGTTGGCTCTGACCTCAGCAAATGCTCAGTGTTTGAAGCTGTTTCTAGCCAGGCCATTGCCATCTCTTGCCCCTGGGGAGGGGGCTCATACTGCTCTTCCTGGGAGGGTAAATGCCACCTGTAGCAGCTAGCACCCAGTTTCTGGGCTTCTTCCGGCAAGGAACTCAGGCTACATCTCCCTGAGATGGTACAGATATAATGAGCCTTTGTGTGTCTGCTGTAGATAGTGTATTCCACTGGTGTCTCATAGTCCCTGTAAGCACCGGCAGGAAGTGGTATATAGAGAGGTGATTTCTACCTCCTGGCAGGGCATGGACATGCTAGGGAGTCACAATGTTGTCCACAAAGGCATCAATTGAATGGAAGGAGGCAAACAGGCCAGCAGGCTGCCATGAGCCTCACAGGATGTGCACACTGTGATCTGAGGCTTACCAAGCTCACCCCACATCCAGGCATGGTCTGGTATGGGTCAATGGCCAAGCCTGCTCTGGGCTGTGAGTACAGACTACACTGTTCTGTTGGCTGGAAGTCCTCCAGCCCTAAGTAGAGGAATGTTCTCAAGACCACCTCTTGGCTGAAGATGGGGAGACCCTGGAAGCCCACCATCTTCAGCTTCCGCTTCTAAAGGCTGACTTCGGGGCTGTAGTCCTGTTTCCTCTGTGGAGACTGAGAGGGTTTCCAGGGTTCACTCACTATCCAACAGACACATTGCCTCAGCCTCTTCCTCCAGGGTCAGGAAGTCCTTCCTCTACCGATGTCACTCTTGGGAAGGGAAAGGCCCACCCCTCAGAAGTCAGAGTCCTTGGCCACTGTGGCCAAGGCAGCAAAGAAACCCCTATGTCCTCTGAGGACAGAGTTGCCAGGGCAGATCCTCGTGGCTACGTCCCTCACAGGATGACCTTACAGCCTCAGCCAAGTAGATCAAGAGCTCAGCACTGTGACTCTCATCACCATAGTGATTGGAGTGACCAGAACAAAAGCCTCAAGTATTTTGTATCATAATTAGCTGTTTGGTAGATGTGAAATCTGCAGAGGGCCAAACGTACTTTCCATGTTTCTGAATTTCTTTGTTTCCAAAAAGAGAACATTGCATCTTTAAAACCAATTTGAGAAAAAGGTGAAACAGAAATGTCACTTGCTTTAGGGGTGATTTTATCTAAGGAGAAGCAGCTGTTATCACCTTTTCTTTTCCAGATCCTCTCTTTCTCCACTTGCTGTGCCTTACGGTGCGTGTGCATGCGTGTGTGCGTGTGTGTGTGTGTGTGTGTGTGTGCGTGTGTGTGTGTGTGTGTGTGTGTGTATACATGCGTGCATGTGTGTGTGTGTGTGTGTGTGTGGTTTGAATGAATATGGTCTCCATAGGTTCATAGTGAGTGGCATTATTTGAAAGGATTAGGACTTATGGCCTTGTTGGAGTAGGTGTGGCCTTGTTGGAGGAAGTGTGTCATTGGTGTTGTGGGCTTTGACATTTCAAAACTTCAAGCCAGGCCCAGTAGCTCACTCTGTCATCCTGCTGCCTGCTGATCTAGATGTAGAACTCTCAGCTACCTTTCCAGCATCATGTCTTCCTGCATACTGCCATGCTTCCCACCATGACTATAAAGGACTAAATCTCTGAACTGTAAACCAGCCCCAATTAAATGTTTTCCTTTATAAGAGTTGCTGTGATCATGGTGTCTCTTCACAGCAATGAAACATTGACTAAGACTGTGCATGTCTGTGTGTGTGTGTGTGTGTGTGTGTGTGTGTGTGTGTGTGTGTATTCATAGGCACACATGAACATATATGCACACATATGTAGAAGCCAGTGGTCAAGTTGAGGTACCATTCCTCAGGAGCCACCTTGTTTATTAAAGTAGGATCTTTCAGTGGGACCTGGCACTTGTGGATTAGGATAAGATGTCTGGCCAAGGAGTCCCAGGGGTCCTCCAGTCTCTACCTTTCTGAGTGATGGGATTACAGGCACACCCTACCACATCGGGCATTTTACATTAGTCTTAGGAATCCAATTCTTCATCTTTGTATGGCATATACTTTTATAGACTGAGTGAGTAATCTCCTTAGCTCCCAAATTTCCTTTTGATCTATACAGTCAGCTCACTATTTCTGGTTTATTTTCTTCTACACTAACCATGGGAAACAAGCTACATAGTGAAGAAGGTCACTTTGGTGTACATTCAAATATCACCAACGAGCACTGAGGAGACTGGCCACACATCCAGCACAGCTCTAAAGGAAATCACAGCAGAAAGAGAAATAACTCTGAGAACGATTCAAAAAGTGTTAAAGCAAAATGTGCAGAGCTATCACTTGGCTTAGGCTGCATTCATTCCAATATGCTCCTCGCAAAATAGGCACCTTGAGAGCCCATCACCTTCCTCCACCTTCCGTTTCCCTATTTGTGAACAGCACGAGATGAGCTCAGGAAAACTTGGTGAGCCCCCAAGTCCACACGTCTTCACCTTTTTAAGTACTGATTCGACTGAATGTGAAAACTTTTAATTCTTTAATTCTCCATGCCAAGATTTGGTCTTGTGTCTTTAACTCATGAGCAGGAAATGCTTGTTGAAATTGATCACCGTGTCCCCAGAAGGCAACATGGAAGCTTCCTGTGGCTCCAGTACATAGGCTATATTTCTCCACCTAGTAGGATGAGGTGGGTTCTGAGCATGACATGGAGTCCTATGTCTCAGTTCCTTTTCTATTACTGGGATAAAACACTATGACCAAGACACTTAGGAAAGAAAGAATTTATTCGGGCTTGTAGTTTCAGAGGGTTAAAAGTCCATCATGGTGGAGAATAGTGGCAGCAAGTGGTAGACATGGCAGCAGGAACAGCTAAGAGCTCACATCTCAAAACAAATTCAAGAAGCAGAGAGAGTGAACTCAAAATTACATGAGTCTTCTGAAATCTCAAAGCTTGTATCTTCTCTCCAAACCTCACTGGTCCTGTAGAAATGCATGCCAATGGACTAGATGATCTCAAGGACATAGAATTTAAAAGAATAATCATAACTTCATTAAAGAATTCAAAGACTTTAAAGAAGTCACAAAGAGACAGCTCAGTGAAATTAAAGAGAAAGAACATAAGGAAAATAAACACCTGCAGACAGCCAAGAAAACACAACTATAAGGTTGATGGAAATAACAAAGACAATATAGGAGTTGGAAATGGAATTCAATATGGAGATGAATGCATTGAAGAGGACTCAAGCCAAAACGAAGATGGAACTGAAGAACGTACTAATTCATTTTAGCTTCACACATTGGCTTCTTTATGTGTGATTTGTGTTTTATTTCCTAAGCTTTCAATACACTTCTGTTGTTGTGTATACTCAGTGTT